TTTATGGCTTGATTTGAACTTAGGAATTAATAAAGAATAATTCGATATAATTATTTGCGTATATTTCATATAAAAATAACTTTTTATATATCGCTAATCAATTGTTTCCAATAACGTTATACAATTAACAACATATTATATAATATTACAATCTATTATATATCTTCTTTTCGCCTTAAGTGAAACATTTGTCAAAAATTAATATTAGACGGAAATGTAATTGAACCACTTTACATTATCATTACAACACTATAGTGATTATTTTTATTAAAATTAAAATATATTATAATTACCTTTTATTTAATACCCTTGTCTAATTATATTTTTACCTCCCACCAAGAGTGAAATTTATTATATAAGTCAAAAATTATCTTAATCCTTTAATTTCATACCCATATCGATATTTTATATTGGTAAAAATATTTCGACCGCCGTAGGTCTTGACTCGGTCAATAAGTAGATCTTTAGATTTGTAGATTTTATCATTATTAAACATATAATCTCTTATAAAGCTAAGAAAAAACAACTGCTTAGTCATATGATGTAAAATATTATTGGATGAACATTGGTATAATAAATATAATTGAAAGAATAGTGATATAAAAAAAATCTTTGTATAAATATTTTTTTAAAGAATAACTATTGGATAAATATGATTGACATTTATTGGCGATTGTATATATATATTTATATATATATAGATAATGCTTAAGAATTTCTGAAGATATTCGATGATTTTAAATAATAGTAAATACTCAAAATATTGTTTAAGGTTTAAAAAAATGATAGTGTGATACTAAAAAAATAGACTTAGAAAAAGTATTCATTAAAGAATTTTGCAAAAAGATTTCGACAAAATATTTATATTTAAATACTTTTTCTGAAAATAACTTGTTGGTATTTTGTATTAATATTAAAATATATTTTTTTAAATATTTATATTTCAAATTACTTTTTTTGAATTGTATTCAAAGGAGTTTTAATTTTTTAAGATTATTTGACCCCATTATCTTTATTTGGATAATAAAATTTAAAATATTTTATATTTCGTATTTAAATATTCATATTGAATTAAAGAAATATAGAATTTTATGCAATTATAAATTTATAATTTTTTTTAATATTTTGATTTTTATTATCAAATAAAATTATTTAAAAAATAACATATCAAATATAAAATATAAAAAAACATTATTTTATAAAAATGGAGCGATTACAAGTTCCCAAAAAACATGAATAATAATATTTTAAAATAATTATTTGTGGATTTTGTTTTAAAAAATAATATTCTATAGGTTCTGATGTAAAGGCTTTTATCTCATCGCCTATATTTTTTAAGAATTTTAAAATTCCGCATGGCATATGTCCAAGGGAAGAGATAACGATCGGTAAAAAAATATAATTTGTGAATTTGGAATATTTCATGTTTTTTCTCTCTTATCAATCGGATTAGAAATTTAAATTTTTTAGAAAAGAAGATACGCATGTGAAGTACTAAAATAAAGGATTTCTCTAGAGACCAAGGCATAAGCCATCTGGTCTTAAGCCATCATCTAATGTTAAATTTAGGCTCCAGGATGTTTGGTATTCGGGCCCTGGTGAACGTCTAATAGCTAAATTAATTGCTGCTTGCCTTGCATGCCTGTCTTGACTATATATACAATTTAGACCATGTCTCCCTTTGGAGTCAACTATATTTTACATTTGATGCATGTATGTGGTTGAACTATGTTGCACCCAAGTCGATGCCCTATGGCAACTCTTAATTGTAAATCTGATAAGGGCTTACCTAGATTATGACTTGTAAATGCATCCATCCATTCATAACCACTAGTACAGTCAGCATTCTGTAATAGTTGAATATACTCCAAAGGGGGGTTTGATATGATTATTTTAAATTTTTTTAATTAAAGGTTCGAAAATAGATTCGTGTGTTAAGATTGTGGGTAAAACAGCTTCAGGTGGAGCTAAAGATACCCAAGCTGTCAAGGAAGGTTATCTTTAGGAGAGATAAAAGAAGATATCATGGCGTTATTCATCAAACGCGATGCCAAATATTAGGAAAGAGATATAAGATTTAATGGATATAATTCTAAACCACCCATTTTCGAGGGTAATTGTGAGAAACCCCAATTAAAATCTTCCAATTTAATATTTAAAATATTTTCTAATAAACTTCTAAAAAATTTATGAACACGATTAAAAAAAAATCTAAAAATGTGTAATATCTTTGGTAAAAAAGCTTTGGTGTGAAATAATTTCTTTTAAAATATTTTCAAGTCCTAATATAAGCCTTCGAAAAAATTATCCACGAAGACTTCACAGTTGGAAAAATGGGTGAACCTAGAAGATTAATTTCACTTTTTTTAATGATTTTAAACCTTTGGACATCGAGAGTATTTTAAAAAAGCTCAGATTTAACTTTATTTAGAGTAAGATTTATTCTTTTAAAATTTTTTTGGTTTTTTTGCCATGTTTTAAGAGCAAATTAATATCGCCCATCACAAGCTCTTATAAAATATGAAGTGCTCTGCTGATATATAGAATTTTGTACAATTCGATCTTTTACATGTAAAAAAAGTTTAAAAAAAATAAATATAAATATATTCTGTGAGTTCAGTATTAAATTTTACGGATTTTAATAATAAATTTTTCAATATTTAAATATTTTTAATCTTCTTTATACCAAATGGCTATGTTTCGGGCTTAGCCAAGTGTGAGATGGGACAGATTTTTGTTTGAAAATTTGCCTACAAAATATAAACTATTCCAGCAATTAGTGGGCCCACCATCTTCTCAAAGAAGCAAAGTTAGAAATTAAAATTTTATAGATTATATTTTGAATAGAATATATAATTATCAAAAATCTCAAATTAAAATAATAATAATCAGAGAGCTTGCAGAGGTACCATTTGTACGGCCATATTAGAATATTTAAATCATGCTGTTTTTATTTATGATAGATTTATATTTATAGAAATGCAATATAGCTATTCGCTATATGGCGCGATGTATTAAAAGGTTATATTTTTTGAAATAAATTCTAAGGAAATTTTAAGATTAATCCTTAGAGGCTTTTTGGGTCAGGGTTAGAATATTCAAAGGAGTTATTGGATGTTTTTGGTTAAAAAAATTTATTATTATAAAATTTTATATTGTTATCTTAATAATATAAGTTTAAATTAACTAGGGAAATCATAAAATATGAAGATTTGTCAAAAGATATTTTAATGAGTTTCCAATTTTGATACTCATAACAATATTTTAATTATATTTTATTTAATATTCATATTAAATTTTGTATTGATAATAAATTCCTGACAATCCAATACCTAGAACCTACCAGTTTGATATTATAATAGTCAACTATTATTAATATATTTAATTCAAAGATATTTTAATTAGATTCAATTTGATACTAGTGTTGTTAAACGGCTCATTTTGAGCCGATTTTTTAAAACGGCTAACTCAATATTTTAACCAGAAAAATATTGCCTAAGTCTCGAGATTTCGATAATATATGAGCAAAATCTTGAGGTATGCTCAATATTTTTCTGGACGAAATAATGAGTTAACCGTTTTTAAAAATCGGCTCAAAACGAGCCATTTAACAACACTATTTGATACCCATCACAATATATTTATTTGATAAAAATATTCCTGACCCACCGAAACCCAAACCTACTTAATTAATATTTTTATTTCAATTGAAATATATTATAATTACTTTTTTATTTAAATCCCATATCAAATTATATTTTTACACCTATCATAATTTAAAATTTTTTCAAAATTGGTCTAAATATCTTCTTAAAATACCTTTATCCGTTTTAATTTGGGATATCATGTCACTTTCTTTGCGTGTGACCATGCTTTTTACAATTTGTGATCACCTTGTATTTTATACCAAACAAAATCTCCTACATTGATGATTCCATTACATGATAGTGTTGTGTTATCTCTATCTCCTTTATTGCGGCTTTAATAAGTCCCATTTGATTCTAATTTCGCGATTAAACATTCTTTAGAAGGTGTAACTTCTGTTGTATTGTGTGTTTCTGTAATTGAATAAAAATTTGTCAAAGGTTTTCCTACCTCAATCTTTTGGCCTCTTTTAGGCGTCCTGATAGAGTTACATGAATCCCATGTCTAAAGGAAAGTTTCTAATATGGGATTTCTCTTGTCTGGACACTTACTCTTCCATTTTTAGCAAGCACGCTCTGAACAGAGCTCAATCGGCAAATACAGCGCTGAATCCTCTATTCATACCCATCATTTGCTCTTATATGGTGATTTGGCTAAAAACATTTTAAGATGTTGGCCGCCTAATCAGAAAAAATTCTGGGTAGTCTGGCGTAGGCTTTTACTTAAGGCAGAGGATCAGATAAGAATATATATTACAATATAAATTTGTAATAATACTAATAAATCTATAATAAATTGCAACAGTATTAGATAGGCGACGAATTGTCGCTGCGCTAAATTGACCCCTACACAGAATTTCCCGTCCCGAATTAACGTGGAACCTATTTTCTGGGATAATATTTTCCTTGAAATTATTTTATGTGGGAAATTTTTCCTGTGTATTCTTTGCTAGGGAAATTTTTACCGCAAATATTTTTTACCAATTTGTTAATTGTAAGTATTCATATTTTTACTCCCACATTAAATTATGCCTAAATCGAAATAGCTATCAAATTTATATATATTTAGCTAATTATTGTCATTTTTTTTAAATTATTTTTAATAAATGAATTTAATTATTAGAAAACGTTGACAATAGTTGATTATCAAATTTTTAAATTCTAGAATTAGGAAAAAATATTTTATTTTTAAAAAAAATACTTACATTATTCAAAAAATTACTTTATATAAATTAACAAATTTTAAATTTAGTTAAATGTACTATCACTGCGAAAATCTTTTTATTAATTCAACAATTATAAATATTGCAATATATTTTAAAAAAGAAAACAATCTTATTGATATAAAATAGAATGTTCAAATTTGACGGAAAATGCATGATGTGTTTGGAATAATTTAGAAGAAGAATCCCTCAAGTATTATTATAGTTTAATATATTTTAATTCAAATATTTTAAGATCAACTTTTTACCTAATTATTTATTTATCATAAGATAAAGTATTTTAAAAAAATAAATATATTATGAGATTATTAATCCACCTTTTAAAATATCGGATTAAAGTTGTAAAGCTTTTATTGATATCTTTTTTATAATTATAGTTAGATTTTGAGATTAAAGTTAGAAATAGGCTTGTATTCTGCCGATTTTAAATAGGTTTATTTAATATTTATATATAATCTAATTTTACGTTTCAATTACAATATATTCATTTTTCTAAACATTACTTAATATAAGGAAGACCGATATAAAAAGATTTATTTTTGACAAAACTTAAAAATGTAGACTAGATATATAAATAGTTAAATTCCTCATCTACTAAATAAAAAAAAGTTGTAGCTCTATACCTATAATATTTTAGGAGGTGTTCTTAATTATGTAATGTTTAGCATTTTACTTCATACCCAGGTTGTAACCATCATTAAAATGATTAAATTTTAACGTCTATTCATCACTTTAAAGTATAAATTAATCAATATTATACTAGATTGTAAAAAATTATATATAGTTAGTATATTTTAAGTGCCCAATTTAGGCACATCCTACATTTCAATATTCCCCTTCTTTGCGATGACTATTTTAAAATATATATCTAAAATAATATAATATTCCTTTAAGATGGAACATTTTGACAGTTTTACCCATAGCAACTTTACCCCAATGTGATATTAATTGTAAAATCGTTATTGCTTGTTTTCCAGTTTTAAACTTCCGATAATAGTATTTTATAGCATGACTTAATAATTTCCAAATTTTTAAATTTGATGTCCTATAACACAATTTATTAAAAGGAAATTTTTATTAAAAAATTATTTTTTTGTAAAACCTAGAAAGGTTTTAAAAATATAAATAAATGGGTAATAAATTAAGTTATAAAAAAAATGCCTAAGTTGAAAAGTTTGCTAACATTGTTATCTCTTCATCATTTTGCCTCGGTCTCCCCTTCATTATATTTTATTTATTTTTATAAATAAAATTAGATAAGAAAAAGATGCTTTAAAATCTTGTAATCAAGGTACTAAATGTAAATAAAATTTATGTGAAGGACCAAGTAACTATTATCTTCATTTTTTCTATATATTGTGAATAAATGAAAGGTTAAAAATTTATATTGAAAAATTCGTTGTTAAGAAATTTTAAAAAAGAATTTATTAAATCAAGGTCAATTTGTGCCCCGTTTTAAAGATTTATAAAATAATGGACAATTTATAATCTCTTTTAGATCAAAGTAATAAATTTTTTAAATTTGTATCTAATAAACATTCATGCATACCCCTAAAACCTATTTAGCATTACTAAACAGGCGCTCAACAGGAGCATTAGAGGTAATTGGGGTATTGTATTTTATAGATAAATAAAATTTAGTTAAAAAATTATGCTAAATAGTCATAAAAAAATTGCATAAAATAACTAGGTTAGTTATGAAGTTTAATATTAAATAGATTTAAATTATTCAAATTTATTAAGTATCAGTTATTATTTTCTATTCCAAAATCAGTAAAGAAATGGAATATATTAATGTTGAAGTCATTGATAGTTAAATTGTACAAATATCTAATGCTTATTGATTTAATACTTTAATCTAGCTTTTATATAATGTTTTATTTCTTAAAATATGTTACTTTTATTTCTTAAAATATGTTATTATTTCTTAATATTTTCTACACTCTTTTGTTCCAATGAGGCTTCAACTCTTTAAGTTTATTTCTTTTATTTTCTCAACAATTTTTCCTTTTTTAGTGACTTACGAAAATTATCAAAATATCCTTTTAAAATATGAATTAGAGTAAGAAAACCTTTATTTATATCTTCTTTATTAATTTATTTGATGAATTAAAAAAATAATATCAAAATTAGAAATTAGCTTGGATTTTAAAATTATCAAATTACGATTTATCATAAAATTCATAAACATTGACAATAGCCAAATCCCTCATCTACAAAATAAAAAAATTATAGCTTTACCTATTATACTTTAGGAGCTGTGCTGAATTATGAGAAGTTCAACATTTAATACTATATTAGGGCCGTGCTGATATTAAATATCTAATCGGAACTTGAATCGGGCCGATACCTGTAAAACCCGATCCGATCTTATTACTTTTCTTTTTTTTTGTAAATTTTTATCATATTTATTTATTTTACATTATAATATTTTCTTAATAATTTTTTTTAAACAATGCAAATGTAAAACTCTTCCTAAATTATTTTGGTGCCTCCTGCAACAAGTGCCGCATCTGAATCTTACAGCAAGGGATAGAGTATACCACATCGTAAAAGCTTATTGCCAGAAGATCTTGAGGCTCTCATATTTATTTAATAAATATTACTATTCTATAATTCATAACAACATAGAATGGATATATTATTATATATATTTAATTATAATCTTAATTGAAAAAAAATGCATAATTCGATTTTTTGCATAAAAAATGTTGATTTCTTAATTACAATTAATTCTAAAGGGGGTGGTGAAAAATCAGTATAAATATCGGTATCGGATCGATTTTGAACCAATATCGGAAAATACAGGTTAAAGTAAGCATCATTGTAAAATAGTTAAACTTTTAACATCAATTCGTCAATTCATCACTTTAAAGTATATATTTATCAAAGCAATACAAGATTTTAAAAAATTATTTATAAATAGTACATTTTAAGTGGCCCATTTTAGGCACATTGTAGATTTCAACTTTTCTGTTATTTATATCCTAAATAACATAATATTCATTTTAGATGAAATATTTTAACCTCGCGTTAAAAGGTTAAAAAATTAAATATGATTTCTTTTATAAAGAAAAGTTTCAAAAAATTTATTGTTAATTATAAATTAATGAAATTTAAATATAATTGATTAAATCAAGGTCAATTCGTTCCCCGTTTTTAAAGATTTTGTAAAAATAATGGATAAAAAATAAACTAGTGTTGTTTAACTACCTAACTTTAGTCAAATAAAACATGGTAGCCATGTTTTTATTCAAAAATGTTCTAATCAATCTTCAAGTTGAGACTCAACTTAGATGCTTGATTCTATTTTTTAGGCTAAAAGCTTGAATAAGCCACAGAGATGGTCAAAGTTATGTAATTCAACAACACTAAAATGAACTTAACATTTTTTTAACATTATAAACTTTTTAAATTATTTTATTCATTCAAATTTTCTTTATATAATTAGTATATGGTATTACTTTCATATATTTTTAATATTAAATTTGATTTTTTTTGATGAACGCGTTCAAATTTAAAGTTCGTTCAATTTTAAAATCACATTATTTTTATTTATTTTATAACTTTATAATCCAAATTTTTTATGTTTTTTTCTTTTCTTTTTCATATTTCAATTCTTTTTGTAACGTATAAGAGCCTAAATTTTCCTTTTCAATAACTTTTTTTTCAAATCCTTAATTTAAACCAAATAAAATTCCTTTTAACTTCACCTGGATCTTTTAGAAAATCTTCTTGGATTCAAGTTAGTAAAACCAAATTGAGCACAGTGAAAATTAGCACAAAAGGAATGCTGAAATAAAATTTCGAGCTATTTTATTTTAGAAAATTCAATATTTGTACCCAGTAAAATTATCTTATCGAAAATGGGATTGAAGAAATTATAATACACTTTGTCTGGATATGGTAAAAGGTTATCCAAATTAATGATAAAATAAGCATAGGATCATTTTCGCAGCTCACATATATACGCCCTTTTTATAAGTAAATGTAAATTTCATTTCATTTTTATTTAACAAAACTAGTTTTTTATAACGCAAGTGAAAAATATACAGTATTAATTATATTCTAATGTTTTTTATAATAATTTCACAACAAATGTTTTTCATTAATTAAAATGTAATATTATATTTTAATCGAGCTAGGCAATAATTAATTAATTTAAAGTTATATTTTAATGAAATTTAAGGTCACATATTCTCTATAAAATACTAATTACTTTAATTAACTATAAATTAGTTCAAACCTGTATCAAAACGATTGGGCGTAATACACGTTTCTTTTGACACCGGAGATCTTTTTATTGACACCGTAGATAATTCTGATGAATAATATATTTAATATTTTTAAAAATTTGATTAAACTTTTATAAAATTATTTAATAAAAAATTATTAGACTAGAATTTTAAGATTTCACTAAGTATGGAATTTTAACCCTTGAATGCTATATTGTAGTAAAACACCTTAGAGATTTTTAAATTATTATCAACTCGTATATTAATTTAAATAACAATGCAATCAACCTTTGAAATTCAGCAACACTTCAATTCATATCTTTATTGTATCCAAACTGGCCATACTCGACATGTTATATTCTGTTATTCTCATCTAGATGAAGATCGAATGAAAAAATATCTATGATATTACTATAATTCAGCATTCGAGATTTATAATTCCATACTTTGTAAAATTTTATATTCTAATAATTTTTAATTAAATAACTTTCTATTAAGTTTAGTCAATATTTTATAAATATTATAATTTAAATATAACAGAATTATCAATGGTCTTAGCAAAAAGATCTCATGTTTCAAAAGAAACATGTATAACGCCAAATCGTTTTGATCCAGGTTTGAACCAATTTATGGCTAATTAAAGTTATTATTTTAATAGAGATTATGTGACCTTAAATTTTAATAAAAAATAACTTTAGATTAATTAATTATTAGTAAAAGTAGTTATATTCAATTCATATTGTATTTTTTTATAAGTCGCCTTTCCTTTCGAAATTCAACGGTACATCACATAAATTGTTGTCCTCCATTTCTTAAATTGTTTATTGTCTCCTCTGTATCTGTTGAGGGTAATGGTGACAAGTAATCAAGTAGTACATTGTATTTGCCCTGTTTATATCAAAATTTTAAGGTCCGATGACTATATTCTGCTTCTGCAACCTCATCGATATTGATATAT